TCTTCACATTTTCTTTCGCAGGTTGAAGGGTTCAGCATTCCATGAGGCGAGTGGGCAAACTTGAAGGCTGGGATGCGAACCCTCCGATGGTATGCTGACTGGGTGCGCAGCGACATGTTGCAGGAGTACATGCGGCACAGGAACTATGGCATCCGATGAACATAATTCCAAGCCGACGAGTGCCCTGTCGTGGCACATGACAATTGAATGACGGGTCCATTCGAGGACCATGGTGAAGGAATGAAGTGTCCTTTAGGATTTCGAGACCCGTGCAAAATGGTATGATATTCATGGACTCTGCAAAGCCAGGGTGGGCCGGGTGTTTGAGGGCGTTGGCTTGTGGGCATGTGCGCACGCGTGATGGCATAGTGTCGTGCAGCAACCGCAGGGCATGTGAAACATGTGGCTGTGGGCTGCAAGGTTGCATCGGCTCAAGCAGAACCTATTCGCCCACAAGTTGAGGTTAGGACTGAAACCCAGATAATTAAGCGATTGCCAGGAACCGTCTGCGCGACTCCGCATGGCAATTGCTATCATTCCAGAGGCCAGAGATTGCCACAATCATGATCCAACAGCAAAGCAAGTTGCTGTTGCCAAAGGCGTCTCATGGATGGCCTGAGTGCCTTGTAAAGGGGCGGGGGGGAGGGGGGCAAATTACGTGTGGAAACCGCGAAGCACGTGATATTTACAGTTGTATTGATCTTCATGATATACAGAAGTCATTCACCGTTGAGTGCAAGAGACCAACACGTAACGTTTAGAAAGCACAGCTTTAGAAAGCACAGCGTTTCGCTTAAGGACCGGCTTTCGTTGGGCGTCTCAGGGATGCGGACCTCCTAGAAGTGAGCCAGAAGCCGAGTTTCGCAAACATTCTGCGTATTCTGCTCACGCACGTCCACAGGAGTCACAGGAAGCGTAGCTACCTTGTTTTGCCTAAGGCTGCTAGGCAGTCGCCAAGCGAACTTTGAACGAGGCACCGAGGCACTCACGTACCCCGGAAGCGCGCCGGCCCAATCCTGGCGTTGTCGTTTCTCAGCTTCGCTCATGTTCATGGACAACAAAGGCCGAGCAACACCGACACATCGAACCCAAAATCCACCAACCAAAATCCATGAAGTCAGTCGTCAGCTTGCCTCGTCGTCTTCCCTCCAGTCCTGGCTTCCAACGGTGTCTCGATGAAAGATGTATGGGTCCCTGCCTTACACGAACAGTCCTCCATGGCCTGTACCATGGATGCCAGCCGGTGCAACACCTCAGTGGACCGCATTTTGGAAGCAAGCACCTTGTCGTTTGTTGCTTTGTGTGTTGGTTTGTTGTTGGTTGTTGTTCGTCAGTGCTTCGTTTTGAATGATGTTGCGTGTTGTTATGCCGTTTGTCGTCTGCTGCTGCTGCTGCTGCTGCTGCTGCTGCTGCTGCTGCTGCTGCTGCTGCTGCTGCTGCTGCTGCTGCTGCTGCTGCTGCTGCTGCTGCTGCTGCTGCTGCTGCTGCTGCTGCTGGCTGCTGGCTGCTGGTCTGCGTTTTGCTTGGGTGTTGGCACCATCCTCACCAGGAGCATGCTTCACACAGATGGTGCTCATGTGTTCGTCTTAGGGCTTTTGGACATATATTATCGCAAAACAGCTGAAGAACCGATAAAATCTAATCTGCGTAAAAACCTCGCAAAGACACACCGTATCGTGGCGGCACATCGCTTGCAAAAGCTCGCATGCTTCGAGGGCCTGGCAGGGAGCAGTGTGCCTGGCGCGTTGCCTCCATCGTCGATGTGTGCAACCTTGGGGCGCTTCTCAGAACTAGAAAACCGAACGAATGACACACCGAAAGGCCTTGTGTATGCTGTGTGCTGAGTCCCTGGCTTCGTAGCCGAGGCTGCACAGCTGCGCCTCCAGCTCGTCCACCATGGCATGCACCTTTGGTCAGCAACCCTTGCAGTCGATGTTTCGAGCCCAGGAGTGCTGAGGGTCGGGACGCCGTGGAGGATTTGCTGCTGCTCCTTGACGGCCGCCTGGCTGGGAGCCCCCGCTCCACCCCCCCAAAAAAAAAACTTTCACGGCATTTCGTGGCCCTTGTTGCACACTGGCCTGCATCGACTTCATGGTCTTCATGGCTTTCATGGCCTGGCAAGAACCAGGTTCACAGTTTGGGGTTTTTGCCATAGACCAGCCACACTGCAGGGGGTTTGGGGTTCTGCGCTTGGGGCTTCGGGTTTAGTGGGGTTTCGATCTTCCGTGCATTGAGGGAAGCTTCTTCGGCCTGAGCGCCTAAATCAAAGACTGCCAGAAAAGGAGCCAGCTCAATAAACAGGAAGCACGCATGGCAACATTACAAAAATAGCGAGAGCGAGATCGATAGACAGATTGTATATATATATACATATATATATATATATACTCATGCAAACTGCTCTACTGTTGATACATCTTTGGATGCACAAACACACAAACACACAAACACACAAACACACAAACACACAAACACACAAACACACAAACACACAAACACACAAACACACAAACACACAAACACACCACACACACACACACACACACACACACACACACACACACACACACACACACACACACACACACACACACACACACACACACACACACACACACACACACACACAACACACACACACACACACACACACACACACACACACACACACACACACACACACACACACACACACACACACACACACACACACACACACACACACACACACACACACACACACACACACACACACACACACACACACACACACACACACACACACACACACACACACACACACACACACACACACACACACACACACACACATAGATATGTTCTGGCCTTCTTTGCTGCCTTCATCGCCAGTGGCATAACGCAGATCACCTACGGAGGGCTAGAGTTCACCTGGAGAGCTGAGAACCTGAGCGCTGCACACATCACGCGCATGAGATGCTGAGACTTCAGGTTCACAAAGTTGGGGGCGAAGCCTGCCGGCTCCACTAGCATTGAAACGACGCTTGAACTTAGCGTGTGAACGGGAGAAGCCCAATTGACTTATCTGATTTCGCGCGCAAAAACCGCTTGCACAGCAGCTGATTTAATGCACGGTCTTTTCTGCGTTCGCTGTGTTCACGCTTTTTCTACTATTTGTCTTATTATTATTATGGTTGTTCTTGTTATTCTGATGATGATGATGATGATTATTGTGAATGTGTTAAAGGGGCGTGAATAGAGATCACTTGTTCGCCTCTTTAGAACCCCAAACTTCGTTCACGCAATTCATTAGTTCACGCTTACGTTTCACTCCTTGTAAACTACTCAACGATATTCCCTTCGTGCGCAAATTCACTACGTTCGTTAAACATACGAAGTGACTGAACGAATGAGAGAACGAATGAAGAGAGTGAACGACTGCACGAAATTGCAATCAGATGAGAACGAAGTGAATGCGCCAGCTTACGAAATTTCAATAATGGCTCGCGTGAATGCGTTTGTTTCGTTTCACTCACGCCCTTAAGTGTGCATTAATTGAGTTCTCTTCACAGTACGTATATTATAAGGGTGTGAGGCTGTGAGGGGCATCAGATTCCTGGGTGTTTCTTCAGAGAGTTCATGGACTGACTGTTGGGACACTCACTGCGTTCTTCCTTTCCCAGCTATTCAGTAGTAAAAAGACCCATGAAAAGAGCTACATGTCAAGGAACGGAACTAACTGAAAAGACCATTGCCATCAGAACTCTCGTTTACACGGTTATCCACTGTCTGGTTTTCATGGAGTGGTTTACACAGGGACTTTTCATGGCCTGTTCATAGTATTTCCTCCAGACCAGGCGCTTGCAGGGCCTCAAAGTGTGACAGGGAGAGAGCGGTTAACCTTTACTTTTCCCTCCGTACACCACCAATCTCACGACACCTTAAGTGCCCAAAAGTCCGCCTCATTGAGACGTGCGCTCACCTTGTTCACCCGCTCATTCGCTCCTGCAATGTTAGTCGTGCGCGCGCCCCTCCTGTGCAACCATTTTCCCGAAAGCATCGCGAAGGGTTCTTCCGCGCGGAGCCCTCTGACCCAACAATAGACTGAAGCGCATGGAGTCAAGTGCATAGAGTGAAGTGCATAGAGTGAAGTGCACAGAGTTAAGTGCATAGAGTGAGGTGCATAGAGTAGAATTCACGAGATTTTAGTACAATTAAACAATTTAATAGAAGTTACGAGATTTTAGTAGAAGTTAGTAGATCTTCGTACCCAGTCCTACATTTCTTAATTAAAATTACTCTTTTGAGGGCGACGGGCTGGGTTGACGTCGTCAATCGGGATTGCAACCCTCTGCGGGTTTCGGCATGGTCACGGTGCTAAAACCGTCGTTTTTTGACGTTTCTTGCTGTGCGCGGACAACCCTCTGCGTGTAATCGCCGGGTCGCGGTGCTAAAACCGTCGCTTTGTTACGCTTCTTTCTGGCCGCGGACAACCCTCTGCGGGTAATCGACGGGTCGCAGTGCTAAATCCATCGTTTTTTGCACATTCTTTCGTGTCCGCGTCAACCCTCTGCGGGTTTCAGCGTTGGCGAGGCGCCAAAACCCTCGTGTTTTTGCGTTTTTGACATACAAAGGTCAACCCTCTGCGGGTTTCCGCGTGGTCGCGGTGCCAAAACCGTCGTGTTTTTGCGTTTTCTTGTGACCGAACGTCCTTTGTAGCACTCCGACCGTAGCTGGAAAGTCGACTTTTGTAGTACAGACGTAGTACGCCGGGGACTTCCTTGGCTGGAAAGTCGAAATCATGCATTCAGGTTGCAAATGCATTCAGGTTGGGCCCAAGAAGGGCCCTCCGGCGAGATCACGCATCATGCAGTCTGGTTGGCAAGAACAGGCAGTACACTGCTCCTGAGTGCCATTTTGTCAAGCACAGTGTCACTGGCCTCAACTGCTCGCAAAATTCAAAATGCGCCCTCTTCAAGGAGCCACAAATGCACTCAGCTAGCTTTGGTCTTTGTGGCCTGCTAGTCGGCGGCGCCCTCCGACCGAATCCGCGCCCACAATGAGTTGCTGATGCGCCACTTTGCCTGTGCTTGCGCGCGGGTTGGCCATCGGCCATGCTTGCGGAAATGCTGCTGCATCTTGGCCTCTTTAGCAGAAATTGCGCTGGCAGATGAGGAATTTCCAGCTCTCTTCCGGCCGCCCTTGCTAGCAATGGCTGCCCGCATTTTGTGGAGAGCGATCCTGCTGATGTTGGTATCGCCTCGACCTCGGGGACCCAGCAATCGCTTCTGTGCCTTGGGGAGATTGGCCTTTGCCTTGCTCTTCACCTTCTCGCTTCCCCCTGAGGAACACAGTAGCTTCCAAGCATTGTTATAGCCTCTTTGTCCACCAGACTTGCTCACAAGCTGCAAGGTTGAGGCCAATGACTTGGATTGCTCTATGAATGCCGGCGACGCATAAAAGAAACGATCTGCCGCCTTCTTCTGACAGGCAATAACTGCCACGTCATTCAGCATTCCGCTGTCTATGTGAAGGCAAATTTCATCCAGAATCTTGGAAGTCTCAGGCGTGTAGCGCCACAAACTACAATGACCTTGGGAAACGGAGGTTGCATGCTTGATGCCCTCGATGGTCGAAGGCTCGTTGCGTGCCCACCTCATAGGCTGCCCGCCCAACATCAGGCAACACCAATTCTTGTACTTCTCGTTCAGAGCTTCGACGCACGACTGCAGCTCCCTCAAAAACTCTTCGGGCTTGTCGGCGGTTGCAGGTCCCAGCACACAGTCGTCCTCGCAAAGCAAGGCGTAGCTCTCGCTTTCGCTTAGAACGCTTTTCAGCAAGCGCATTGCGTTGTAGTGGCTTCTTGCGCAACCCAACTGAGCCCACAAGTCTGTTCCGCCGGCAGTCCCCAATCTCGTAGGGTGTAAAACTTGTGAAACTCGGTGCAGCTCTTGACGTTTTTCGTCAAAAGTGTCGTACGACAGCAACGCCAGCGTCTTCTCAGTCTTGTTCTTGCCGGGTGTCTTCTTGAAAGTGACGCGGCCTCCACTCCTGAGAAGATACTCTCCGTCAATGGCCTCCAAGAACTGCAAGTTCTGCTTTAGGCCCACCTTGTGAAACAGCTCCAGGGTTCCTTCACGGCGCTCCGCTTGTCGAGCCAGGTGTATTACATACACTGGCATGCCCGCAAAGATTGCCATAGCCAACGTGGACAGTCTTGACTAAGCCCTGGTTGTGATTGTAAAGCCGTGGCTGGCAGGCTCCAGCCGAAAGGGTTTGGCGTTCAGGGTTAATTAGGGTCCAAGCTTGAGCTGCGCATGTTGTTCCCCACCCTTGGTGTGGGGTTGTTGGATTTTAAACTCAACGCTTCTCCTCGCCCGGAACTCTTCTCCTCGCCCGGTCTACAGCTCGCTCATCCCTGCCCCCCGGGAGTGCCCAGTTTCAAAGTCTCCCTGGAGCTCCCTGGAGCGCCGAACCCCAGAGTATCTCTACCAAGAGAGGGGGCCGGACCGTTCAAGCCGCACGCATGTCCGCGTCCAAGGCGCACACAGCAAATCACGGTCTTTCCCGCGTCCAGGCCGCACACACGTCTTGTTTTCATTGGTTTTTACCACGCATTTTGAAGCTTTCGGATTCCGGAAACTTCGAAATGGGTGGCTGCCCAGGGCTTTCAGAGCGCGTGCAGCTTGGAAGTGCCGCGTGCAGCTTGGAAGTGCCGGGAAGTGCCGCGCCCAGCTTGGAAGTGGCTGGGTTTAGGGTTAATTTCAAGGATCTTGGCACCCAAACGAGTCCCGCGCTCGTTTGGGTGCCACGAGTCGGGTTTAGGGCTTAGGGTTTAGGGTTTAGGGTTTAGGGTTTAGGGTTTAGGAGTTAGGGGTTTAGGGTTTAAGGGGTTTTAGGGTTTAGGGTTTAGGGGGTTTTAGGGTTTAGGGTTTAGGGTTTAGGGTTTGGGGTTTAGGGTTTAGGGGGTTTTAGGGTTTAGGGTTTAGGGTTTAGGGTTTAGGGTTTGCGCCGAAGCTGGAGAAGGATATGACATGGCCGGACGGGTGAACAAACTTGAAATTTGTTTCGATTCCGGAGCACGCTCAAGGCCATCGAGAATGGGGCCTTGCTTCGGCCACATCATTTCACGCGTTTCCCTCCCGCGCCGTCAAGTGCGGCTCCCACCCTTAGCCAGCTCCGCCTTTTAGGGTTTAGTTTGCTAAACTCATGTTTAGGAAACTCTCTTGTTTCTTTTTATCACCTTCCTTCTTGTATGTGTTCTTGTCGGGGTGTATTAAACCCTAGTCAAAATTGCTTGTTTGGTCCAGCGCGATCTTAGTCCTCTTGCAGCCTGTTAGTCCTAACCGGAGGTTTTGCACCCGGGGGAAAGAAGAGACCGATGGTTGACCGTAGCTTTTAAGCACCGTACTGGTGCTTTCTGTGAATTACACGGGATCCGGGGGGGGAAGCGCGGAAAGGGTGGGACCGGGTTGGGGCCTCTGGGGTGTAGGGTTTGGGTCCCAATAACGTTTTGACCGAAACGCTGCAGTGAACAATGGTTGGACTTGCGGAGGTGTACAGTCTCTGCTCTCTTTGCTGCACAGCTGCCTGCCCTAGTTCACAAGACTTTTATACGACAGCCAGCTAGTAAAACACAGAACTGCGAGACTGTTCTTTTTGACTAGTGGTGCAACGGCTGTAGCTGTGCAAGCAAAAGAAAGCTAAGCAGCAGAGCTGCTGCCGGAACCCCCCTGCTATGGAGGAGAAAACAGGTATCGAAAAAACTGGTCTTGCTTCGTCGCTGCTACTCACTGGAATGCTTCAATGTTGTATTCAAGAGGACTCGGCACTTCGGACTCATCGCATAAACCTACTTACATTCGAATTCTCTTGTCGTTCCATGGTTCAGGGCGGGGTGTGATGCTTTGAATCGCATGACAGAAATTGTAGAGGGTTTGGGTCCCAAAAAGTTTTGAGCGGGGGGCAAGGGGGGGGCGAGGGGGCGGGGGAGGCGCGGGGGAGGGGCGAGGGGGGGGGGAGAGGGGCGGGAGGGGGGCCAGAGGCTTTAGTAAATTGAGTGTTTTCGCCTTGGACTGAAACTCTGCTTGTCAGCTGTTTAAACAAACAACTTGGGAAATTCACACTGATATCACATACATAAGCAAATGGAAGGGGCCTGGGCGGTGCGATAAGCGAATGGAAGGGGGGAGCCTGGGAGGTGCTTTCAGCAAGCGAATGGAAGGGGGAAGCCTGGGCGGTGCTATAAGCAAACGGAAGGGGCCTGGGGGGTGCTATAAGCAAATGGAAGGGGCCTGGGCGGTGCTATAAGCAAATGCAAAGGCCTGGGCGGTGCGATAAGCGAATGGAAGGGGGGAGCCTGGGCGGTGCTATAAGCAAATGGAAGGGGCCTGGGCGGTGCTATAAGCAAAAGGAAGGAGCCTGGGCGGTGCTATAAACAAATACAAAGGCCTGGGCGGCGCGATAGGCGAATGGAAGGGGGGAGCCTGGGCGGTGCTATAAGCAAATGGAAGGGGCCTGGGCGGTGCTATAAGCAAATGGAAGGGGCCTGGGCGGTGCGACAAGCAAATGGAAGGGGCCTGGGCGGTGCGATAAGCGAATGGAAGGGGGGAGCCTGGGCGGTGCTATAAGCAAATGGAAGGGGCCTGGGCGGTGCTATAAGCAAATGGAAGGGGCCTGGGCTGTGCGATAAGCGAATGGAAAGGGGGAGCCTGGGCGGTGCTATAAGCAAATGGAAGGGGCCTGGGCGGTGCGAAAAGCAAATGGAAGGGGCCTGGGCGGTGCTATAAGCAAATGGAATGGGGCCTGGGCGGTGCTATAAGCAAACGGGCCTGGGCGGTGCTATAAGCAAATGGAAGGGGCCTGGGCGGTGCTATAAGCAAATGGAAGGGGCCTGGGCGGTGCTATAAGCAAATGAAAGGGGCCTGGGCGGTGCTATAAGCAAATGGAAGGGGCCTGGGCGGTGCTATAAGCAAATGGAAGGGGCCTGGGCGGTGCTATAAGCAAATGGAAGGGACCTGGGCGGTGCTATAAGCAAATGGAAGGGGCCTGGGCGGTGCTATAAGCAAATGGAAGGGGCCTGGGCGGTGCGATAAGCGAATGGAAGGGGGGAGCCTGGGCGGTGCAAAAAGCAAATGGAAGGGGCCTGGGCGGTGCTATAAGCAAATGGAAGGGGGCTGGGCGGTGCGATAAGCGACTGGAAGGGGGGAGCCTGGGCGGTGCTATAAGCAAAGGGAAGGGGCCTGGGCGGTGCTATAAGCAAATGGAAGGGGCCTGGGCGGTGCTATAAGCAAATGGAAGGGGCCTGGGCGGTGCTATAAGCAAATGGAAGGGGCCTGGGATGGCCTTGGGTTTCGGTGCAGCTTGGCCTGAGCCTCGGCTTTCACCTTTATCACCCCTTTTTCCAGCAGCTCGGCGCTCCTTCTCTGCCTCTCGGAGATGGAATGCATGGCTTGCATCCGTGCCAGAGACTGTCACAGTCTGTTTGCACTTTTCGCACTTGGGCTTGCCACTTTCATCCCAGCTCAACCCGGCAGCATGCTCGGATCTGAACAACCATTTGCAAACCTTACACCAAAAGGGGCTTTTCATCTCAGCACCCTGCTCACCCTTCCTGCTGTCTTCAGCTGCCATTTTCCTGTCCTTCACCAAAGGTACAGGCTCCAGGCTAGGGCTAGCTTCCGTGGTGCTTGAACCAAAGCTTTTGCGGGTGGACCATAAATCCATTTCTTGAACCTCAGGGGAAGAGTCTTCACGAAGGGTTTCGGGACTTCTAAGGTGGAAATTTTCAAAAACTTCACCACACTTTTTCACACTTTTCAACGATCCAACTTGCTCCACACTGCATCCAGTTGCCTCGGCACACTGGTATGCCTGAACTCCAACCCTTGGTCGGATTCCACAGATCCTCCACACCTGCTGCACATCTTCACCAGGGTATATACCCATAGCTTGCTGGTGCTGACAGAATGTCACTTGACTCAAGCACTTTGTAAGAACGTCAGCGATCATTCCCGCTGTCGGGCACCAAATGACCTTCAAGGTCTGAGCTTCCTGTATCCGCTCCTGAAGATAGCAGACAGCGATGTCTAAGTGGCGAACTCGCCTACTCAACCCACGGTTTAGCAAAACCGCTCTCGCTGAGGAACTGTCAGTGTGCAATCGGATCGTGACATCTGACTCGGCCAACTGACCGATCAAAGTCGCAAGTCCCTCACTCTCCTGTACCGCAGTCAAGATGGCTCTCAACTCGGCTTCACAAGAACTCAGCGATACACACCCTTGAACTCGAGAGATTCCCTTGATCAGGCATCCTCTATAAAAGATGGCTATGCCCGACACAGATCTTCGTCCTAACGACGCTTGGGGTGCCCAACTGGCATCCGCATACACTTCCAGCTGCGCCGGCCCACTGTCTGGTACATTCCCATCAGGGCCAAAGTACTGCCATGCATGGTATTGTCCCTTTAGGAACCTAATCACTTGTCGCAATGCTTGCTCAAAGCATGCTGTTGGCTTGGACTGTCCTTGCGAAAGAATGGACATCCACCTACTCAGGTCAGGTCTCGACTGACCCCACCATGCAATCCGGCCAAGTACTGCTCTGTACCTCGCAGCTGCAGTGTCACTCAACTCAGGATCCGAACCACTTGCTCTGCCCTTCTCGACCGTTTTCACGATGTCCGGAGGAGCAGTAACCACCTTCAGGTCCTTACAGAACTCTGTCTCGAACAGGGCATCTAAGTATGCCGGGGGCACTCGCATCCTGAGATGACTCCCTTGTCTCTCAATCTCTCGCCCCAAAAAGGTGATCTTTCCACCAGTGGAAGTGATTCGACCCGTTTCCTTGATCTTCAACTCTCCGTTCAGGGTGTCGGTCACCAACCGAATGGCATCTCTAGTGCCACACAGAATCAAATCGTCCACATAGCACAACATGAGGAATCTTTTCCCTCTCACAGTGCCCTCGAAGACGGAAGGTTCCGTTGGGCATTGCTTCAACCCAACTTTCTTCACAACTGTCGCCAGCTTCAAGTTCCAAGCTTTGGCGGCAACTCTCAAACCATTCATGGCTTGATCCAGAATCATAAACACCGGGACATAATAGTCCTTGCAGGCGGAAACATCCTTGGGCAATTGGATAATCGCCTTCGATCCTTTCGGAAGGGGGGAATGCAAGAATGCAGTGCTAACATCCAAA